TTTTACATTGTAATAATACTTCACAATATTACTGTTTTAAATAATAATAATGATAATAATAATGCATGGATGCAGCCATGTTTAGCATTAGAGTCTTCTTTTAAAAACATTTAAATGTCCCAAAGTTTTGAATGGTAGTGTGAAAGCTCTCATTGTGTACCCAAAAACCAGCTTTAAGAGGCCGAAACGGCCAAATAAGTTTTTCCATCATGTCTAAACCTTTTGCAAACACAGCTGTACCTTAATTCCAGGTAAGATAACCATCTCATGTGGAACTAAAAGATCCATCACACATATCCTATTAGACAAGACCACATTGAGCAGAAAATGAAAAATCAAACAAATAGCATGTCTGATAATAATAATAATGATTTGATTTTTTTTTTTTAAAGCGCCTTTCAAGAATCCAAGGTTGCTTCACAAAATAATACAAACAGTTGACAGACTAGAGACGGGCAATCTGCTAGTTATAACGATTAAAGAAGCAGAAAAGCAGATGGAGACAACAATAATGAATAGATTAGGGAACAAAAACATACATTGATAGAGAAAACATGTAACAAAGTGAAAAAGTGGAAGAGAGAGATTGAATGAAAAACAGTTATTTACTATACATGGTGAATATGAGTTTTAAGCTGATATTTGAAGGTCTGCAGGTTAGGGGTGGCGTGAAGATCAGATTTATTCCACAGATTAGGACTGACAACACTAAAAGCCCTTCCACCCACAGTAGATAGTTTATACCTGGGTACAACAAGCAGATCATCATTACTGGATCTAGGGTCCGAGCAGGAACATATGGTTGCACTAACTCAGCGAGATATTGTGCAGGGCAATGACAGGCTTTATAAACTAAGATTAACAGTTTAAACTGGATGTGATTGACCACAGGAAGCCTGTGAAGTTGGGAAAGGATAGGAGTGATATGTGCAGTTTTTTGTTAGATGTAAGGGCTCAAGCTCAAACAGCAGAGTTTTGTACCATTTGAAGGTGATGTATTGCATTGGTGGGTAGGCCGCTATATAGGGAGTTACAGTAGTCCAATCTGGAGGTTATAAAAGCATGTTTAACTCTTTCTGCATCTCTAAAGTTAAGAGAGGGTCTCCAAAGTCAAACCCAAAATATTTCATTTTCAGAGTTGAAGTACACTAAATGTCTGTACTGAATAGAACACATGAATATGAGTATAACTATATGAAGAGTTCAGATGCAAAAGCCTCTAAATGCCATTTGAAATGTCCTTCTTTAATGATGATTTTTTTATCAAACTTGTATATTTATGTTCAGTAATTTCACTTAAATGACAATTAATAGGTAATTATCATTGCCATTTAAGTGAAATCACTGAACTTAAATATACAAGCTTGATAAAAAATCATCATTAAAGAAGAAAATTTCAAATGGCATTTAGAGGCTTTTGCATCTGAACTCTTCATATGCTATTTAAAAAAAAAATAATAATAATAATAATATGCAATAATAATATTTGAAAGGATTAATCATAGAAATAACCACAAAAAAAATCATACACATATTTTTTTTTTTCCCTTTTCTGATACACCACGTTTAACATGAATAACAGGTGAATAACCATGAATGAAACTAACTCAAACTAAACTTAAATTTATAGGACATTTGAAAATTAAAAAGAAAAGTAATCTTTCACAAGGGAAATATGTAACTTTTTTACTTTGTTACACTACATCATATTTTTCATTCCTGACATTCAAGTCATCCAAGTTACTTTTTTTTTTTTTTGAAAAGTGTACATATAAGAAATAGTGTGTTTTTGTTCAACATGGACATCCTTCCTGACCCATATATAAATAGCTAACAAAAGCATCTATAAATGACTTTGGGATGATGACAAGTCTACTGCTTAGACATGATTATATTTCTAAGAAAGATAATACACATAGGAATAAGGGTGTTTGTTTACACAGTCTCTATATTGATCTGCTTTCAAAAGCTTGTGTGTAACTCAAAGATTTGATATAAACCAAAGGCATTTTGAAAACATTCCAACTAATCTGCAGATTAAACTAACCCGCTGACTGGGTTGCCGTTAATATCGCTAACATTCTGGACTACTAGCAGCTGTCCCTACATTAATATACAACAGATTATTCCCAGTGCACTGACTTCATTTTGGGAAATTCTCACTGAGCGTGTCTGCTTGTAAACAAGCTTTGCCATTAAGCTCATAGTCCATTCACAACCCCCCCCCCCCCCCCCCCACCACCACAAAAAAACCTACAAATACAATAAAAGTGATTTAGAATACAAAGAAGAAGAAAAAACTGCAATACAGCCAGAAGGTGTTTTCTCCAACATCAAAGAACATCTTTCCCTCTTGGCGGTGTGTAATCCTCTTGTGAGTCTGCTGGCGTGGTCTAAATTTGGCTCGGTGGCTCACTAGACCCAACCGAGACTTAATAGCACCAAATCGGTGGGATTCTTACCATGCTGAAATGAAGGACATTAGCCTAACCAAGGACACAGCTAGCCTGACAGATTAGACACCAGAGGGTTTGGAAAGAGACATTAATTAACATGAAAAAACAGATGAAGGACGGTGCAGGCCCAAACCCAGAGCTGACCATGCCAGTTTTAGCTTCTCATCGCTAGTATATGTGGGGGGAAAAAAAGTCCCAGCTAGCCCATCAGTCAGACTCAATCCATGGCAATTCCGCGACTGAACTCAGAAGACAACTCGAGTATTAGAAGAAAAGGCTTGACAGCAACATGTACATGTCTTCATCATAAACTCATAGTCGGGTCATTTTTCACCAGTCCGTTGTCTTGTCTTTCAATAGAGCTGCTCTGTGATTAATGAGTGGTCTGGAATGTGTTTAAGCAGTGACATACAGTGAGACGATTATGCCAAGTGATCTATACAGCCTTTGATGAGCCACAACACTGGGAAATTCCATCTTTTCTTATGAAATTTGAGGAGATTAGGAGGGTATTTTAGCATTATTATCTAATCCTTTAGCCAGTGTTTGTTCCTGTGAACTTTTCTCCTCTGTGTCGGGAGTAATTGAACAGGCAATGAGAGATAACTTTAACAGTACACCGCATATGCTGTCTGCTGCTGGAGAGGTTAATAAAGGAACAGCACATTAGTGATTTTTACTCATTACCACTAAAATGTCACCTTTTTTCCCTATTCAAACTTAGATTCCAATGATAAAATGATTAATGTTGAAATGGATTGAATGACATTCTGTAATACTTTGCCTATTAATTAATCATGTTCCTTTTCTTATCTGTGAAGTTGAATGAATGTCTGCTAAAAATGACAAAAGCACATCAAAATTATCCTATATATACTGTAGAACCCTATATTATGTGTGTATGTGTGTGTGTGTGTAGTTTGGAAGGGGCTGGAGGGGAACATTAGACAGCTTCAGTGTTCTATTTTTAATGTTGTATTAATCAAAGCATTAATTGTAAGAAGAAATGTTTCTTGTGCACCAAACAGCATATAAGAATGATTTCTGAAGGATAATGGTACACTATTTTAATAATATTTCACAATATTACTGTTTTATTGTATTTTTGATCAAACAAATGCAGCTTTGCTGATCAAAAGAGATTGATTTAGCAACATGCATCTATAGGATATTAGCAAATGCTAAAATATGTTATACTTCTGTGTTTTGTCCCATTCAAACACAAGATTTGCAAGGCTTTAAAGAAATCCTCTGAAGGTGAAAATGTCACGACATCGACATTTTGGTGGCACAGGATTAAAGTTTCTTGAGTGACACTTGCCTTATAAGACTGGCTTTTTTTTTTTTTACTTAAAATAGCCAGTTGTGTTGGCTGTAGAATTGACATCTACAGTATAAAATATATATAATATTGAAAGACATTGGAAAGTCATCTTAAACATTGGTGTCAGTACTATTTAACATGCATTGTGCCATCAATAAACAGTTTGTTGCCAAAATGCTGTGATTTTCATAGAACTGTGGCTTCACTTCTTTGTTTACTCAGCCTTAAATATCATAGAAAGAATCGGTAGAAATTCGGAAAGCTCTTGTGGCTTATAACCCAAAGAGGTCAGTAATTGAAAGTTGAAAGTTATCATTAACATACCATTCATCTTCATGGTCCTCTGGACAGTTTATATATGCCATCTTTCATCATAAGCCTTCATCCAAAAGCCTAAAGAATGTCATAAAACCTTCAGCGACTATAATTAGCAGTGAACTCAAAATCAGCAGACAATTTTAAAGAGCCATCCAATAAAGGGCATTTAAAGTAAAATCGTATTTTTGATGGAATATTGCAGTATTTATTATAAATGATTTATCTGTGCTCATCATTATTTATTCTTTAATCAATGCCCTTGTAATCTTTAATCGAAATTCCCCTCCCTCTTGCATCATCTCTTCTCTTCTCTTCTCTTTTGGCGTGTTTACTTGTTCCAGCCACCTGTTTTTGGTGTGTTTTAGAAAGGTTTAGAAAATCAGATTCCTGTCTCCTAAAAATATTTACATCCGTCTTGCAAACAGCCTAATTATGATGTTTTCACACAGTGTTTAGCTTATTATCCAATGATTCTGTGCATTAAACTGTGCCAGACATGATGATGCTGATGATGATGGTGTGACATTTCTAGAGAGGTAACACCAGTGAGTCCTCAAAATGACAAGTATATTTTGATAACTCAAATGCTCAAAGCATAACAGATCATAAACCAGCCTGAACAGCTTAAAAGTGCCCAAAAACCCACCCAAAAACCAGCCGCATCCTGGTCATACCGATAGATTTAACTAAGTCCTTCTTGAATGCTCACTGATAAGTATCCGTTTTTGTATTGTAGTTACACAATTGCAAGAGCAGTTACTAACCTCTTGTCAAAAGTTGCATTTATATTTGCCCTAAAACCTATTAGTTCAGTATATTATGGTGATTCAGCTTGACTCCTTGTTTGATTAACGCATCCCTCTCCGGATCATTTACCATGTGGTTTGGAGCGCGTAACGGGGGCACGTGCGTTCGCTTGCTTTGCTCCACAGGAGCGCACTGCCTTCGCCTGACAGAAGTCTGTCCGCAGAGCTCTGCCATCTGAAGTTTCTCACTGCCTTTGTCACTGCTTGGGAATTTCGTTTCGGACATAAACGGGAGTATCATATAGAGGAGCATTGATTTAGTAAGCCGGACGTTTCAATTCTGCGTCCTTTTGCAATCAGCATTGGGAATATGCGTCTGTCCACCCGAAACCACCACGAGTAACGGTTCCTACGGAAACCTGGGGTTTAGTTCCCCTCCTGAGTGGAATAGAGAACTTTTCCCTCTGTATATGAGGCTTTGGATTATTTAGAAAGGAAAAAAGAATCATGGTCCGACAAACGCTGGATACAATTTGGGATTTTTAAGGTCATAGAGCGTTTAGAGCAGCATCGGTATTTTAAGAGGACTAAGCAGAATACAGTAATTTGGAGGGAACATATGACAGCACGAGCGGCTTCCTTTAACGCACGCGGACTCCCTTTCAGAAACAGAAACATGTATATCTATATCTACGGCTTTCTGCTCTTTTTAGGTAAGTTGTTGTTTAATTTACATACATTTGCCTTTTTTTCTGTAGTCGAAGTGAATCTTCTCACGGAATTTAATTCAATTTATTCTTCAGATTATATGTATCCACTTTCATCTGGTAACAACGTTAATGATGTGGCGGGATTACATTACATTTTAATACCATAATAGTTTATGAAGTTACGTGAAATTAAGGTGAGGTCAAGTTCAATAACGAGCAGAAAAGCAACGATAACCTATTAGGCTACATTTCAGTTTTCATTTATGGATATCGGAATTAAATGCATAAGAACTTATCAGTTCATGGTACTCGCATATTGAAATGTATGATGATGCAAGTTAGTGCATTTCATTCCTTATGAAAGAATATAACTAATCACGTTGGTTGTCTTTTAGTTTTACATGGCATCTAAGTATAGTTCCCACTCATGTATAATTCAACTCATTACGAGTCAGTGTATAGAAAATAAATCACAGTAGTAAATGTTTCGATAACGCTGAGAATTATCAAGGTCACTGTGGATTGACCATTTCACACTTACGATACTTGATCCTTTCTGCGCACTATGATGAAACATAGGCTGAATATTTGAACAGTCCGCAGAACATATTAACCATTCACACATTTTGAGATAGATATTCAACCTCCAGTTACGCTTTGCATTAGTTTTAATGTTGCAGTGTAAGCTCTTATGTGGAACTGTAATTAATACTATTGTATTAATATCTATACTAAAATGTAAGGTAAAGTACTACTTTCCTGATTTTCTTCTTTTGACTCATTTGCATTCTTAGACCATCCCGCAGCATTTCTCAGTCTTTTAATTTATTTATTTATTTTAAATATGCAAAGCATTCATCAGTGATTCGTTTTTTAAGGGTGTGTCTGAATCTTTCATTCTGGTTCTTCTCACTGATGTGCTCTAAACAGTTTTAAAGAAAAAAAAAGAGAGAGAGAGAGAGAGGGATAGAGAGATATTGGTAAGTATGATGCATTTACACCTGTAGGTGTCACTGGTGGGTTGCACCTCCGTTACAATGACCCTATGACCAAAAAAATAAAAGCAATCTTTAGTTGTAAAATAACGAGGGAAGTATAAAGACACTAATTGAATCAATTTTTTCCACAAATGCTAAAAAAGACTCCCAGCACACAAATTTAGGTTCTGGGAACGTTCGGGTAACGTTAGTTTTTGGTTCCCAGAACGTTCCTAGAACTTTCCCTTAAGGTTAAGGGAACATTCCTGGAACATTCTCCTTATGTTATAAAAATGGAACCTAAAAATAACCCACATGGATCATTCCTACAACGTTCTTGTTTGGTTCCCAAAAAAAATAAAATAAAAAAAATAACCTCATGGGACCATTCGGGAACGTTCTGTGTTTGCTGGGCTGTTACTCACTGGTGACTCAGGACATGTTAATTAGCAGTCTTTTGTGCCATGCATGTGATATGTTACTCTTTAAAGGGATGTATTTCGTACTTTGGCACCATTTTGAGCTGTCAAGCGATCCTTGTGAGTCATGATCTCACAATCATCTGATCATTGCCCCTGGCTTGATGGTCTCTGAACTGTTTTGCTCTATAGTCATTGCAAAATTATCTTTTTTTATAATGAAAAAATGAGTGGATGCAGTCAATGATGTCTTTCTAGATCCATTAGTCATAAATAGATGAAGATTTGATAAACTTCGAACCTGTTATCTAATTAAAGAGTTGTGTTTGTGGGACATTACTCAGTACATATGTAAAAACATGTACCTGAACCTCCATTCCTCTCCACCCTCCTACATAGATGAGCTAGTGCTGTCCATGTCGGGCTCGTCCGCTCTCTCTGAGTCTGGGCACCAAGACTCAATGGACTGTTTAAGAGCCACCGAGAAGTGTAACCAGGACCAAAAATGCAGCCATCGCTTCAGAATCATGAGGCAGTGTCTGGCAGGCAAGGACAGGAACACCATGTTGGCCAATAGGGATTGCCAGGTAGCCCTGGAAGTGTTGGAAGAGATGGATCTGTTCAACTGCCGCTGCAAGAGGGGAATGAAGAAGGAAATGCAGTGTCTGCAGAGTTACTGGAGCATCAACATAGGCCTGACTGAAGGTAAGAGTAATCCCTCAATGGGATTATGGGTCAATGGATAAGATAGTCGGATAGATATACATGATTGATCCCAGGAGTACCAGGGAAATGGAGGCTAGTAGTCACACATTTGACTCCAGATAATATTTCTCAGAGTAGATTTATTGTATGGTAATTTTCTGTAAACACCAAAGTGTTGCTTACATTACGACAAAGCTATACTGAACATTGAACTGAATTAAACATTTCCACTGTTATGATATAAAGAGTCTTCTGATACATACATACATACATACATACATACATACATACATACATACATACATACATATATATATATATATATATATATATATATATATTAGGGGTGTAACGGTACATGTATTCGTATTGAACCGTTTCGATTCGAGGCTTCCGGTTCGGTACGCATACAAACCGAACGATTGCTTGGACCATTTTTCCTGCCGGCAAAATTCGTGCTGACGCGGCCAACACAACGTTGTGCAACATCCAAATGGCAAGCGTAATGAAAGCAGAACGAAACTGCGCTACTCGTTATGTGCTTCATGGATCGTTTATCAGTTCGGACCAGCAACATCTGTGCAGCGCGAGCCGATCTCGATCAAGCAACACTGTTACCGCACCGCGCTAAGAGATCCAGTAAAGAAAACATTTGAATTCGCCACTGAGGTAATAACATTCAAGATCGAGATCTAGTGAGAAGCATTCACATTTCTCTGTTATTAACCGTAGATCTCTATTAGATCAAACAGCGCTGTCATTGAAACCAGGAGAAACATTGTGCCGTGAATGAACTAGTAATACTTTCGTTCACAGACCAGCAACATTCACCATGGATTTAATATAGTAACACTAACTGGAACCAGTTTGGCTGGTATGGTGAAATGCTTTCAAGTACTTCACACATCTTTTTCCAGCACTTCAAAATTCAAATATTATATAAATAAATATATATTTAAATGTTATTTTTAATGTGATGACCAAAACATTATTTGTTCATCCTTCAATTTGACCCCCATTTATAAACCTGAAAGTTTCAAGATCTAGGAAAACTCACACTTATTTAAAAATATTTTTTCTTTAAACAAATAGGAAATTTCTCTGGCATTTCTTTCTTTTTGCTGTATCGAAAACGTACCGAACCGTGACTTTAAAACCAAGGTACGTACCGAACCGTGATTTTTGTGTACCGTTACACCCCTAATATATATATATATATATATATATATATATATTTATACACACACACACAATATTATAGAGTGCACACTTTTAATGCATGATTTAATCTATTAAAATGCATTTAGAATGCCCGAAAACTCAATATAAGGAGCAACAAATGTGATGTTGATTTTACAAAACAGTTCAATAAACAAGAAGTTAATATTAAATGACTTACATTTTAGACACAATGTTTTCCGTTTTTACTCCATTTCGCCAAATAAAAGAGTTCGAAACAAGTCCCAGCACTGTTTTGCGTCTCTGAGCAACACACAGCAGTGTTTCAATAAATCAACTTTTTAAACGAATCGGTTGAATGAATGATTCAATGACTCACTCATTAAGACAAGTCAAATGCTTAGTTTCTGAATGAATCAGACGTTTGAATAAATCGGTTGAATCTCATGCTCATTCATTAACAGTGACTTGCTGCCATATATATATATATATATATTAGGGGTGGAGCCGAATCCGAATACGGTATTCGGAAAGGCACAAATAATATTTTTTTTACGAATACTTATTCTGAACAAATACTTAAAAAAATATTTGTATTCGGGAACAAGAAATACTTTATATCAAAAGGCTGCGTTCCTCAGACCGCAGTGCGCGAGTTGAGTGAGTGACGTTCAGGAAGAGGTAACTGACACAGGCTGCTCCACACAGCAACAGAGAGGGCTCGGCTCAGCGAAAAAAACACTTAACTGCATCACTATTTTTGTTGAATAGATGTTTGTACCTTAACTAGGTTCCGGAGGCAGTTTATAACTTTCGGGAAGCGGAGTTTGATCGGGAGTATATTCCATTATTGACGTCTACAGACGGGTGCTCTCATGTTCGCTCTGTTTACGTAGCTCTGTTAGCTCGGTAACGGTAATTATTTTGTTTCTTATATGGCTTGGTTGAATTCTAATGTAGAATGCGGTCTGTTATTATAACAGGCCGCTGCTTATAAGTATAACACACCGTTGCCATGAAAAACAGAGCGTTGCCATGGATTCTAAACGTAGAGACAGAACGGACTATTTTTCTTTTTTTAGCGGAAGCTATAGAATCGTTTTTTAAATCAATAAACTCCTTTTTATATCCATATTTTGAGTCAAATTATTGATTTATTTGGGCTTCGGGAGTCGTGTCGGGCTCATAATCAACCTCCTCGCTATACATTATCCCTATAACTTATTCTGTCTGTTCAGCGTCCTCCACCGTGGTGTTGGGGTTCATAATGTTCACAATTTTATTTCATTAGTTGTTGGTTTAACCATGGTTCATGAGGTAATGTCTGACTGTTATATATATATATTTTTTTAATGACTTTTCTTGTTACATGTTCATTGCTGGATTTACAGAAAAACATCAACAAATATTGCATATCCATAATTATTATAATGGATATAATTAAAGAAGCTGCCAGATTCCAGTGCGAAATAAAATACATTTTTGATATGATTAAAAAATCCCTATATAACACATTCACTGTTCAAGTAGAGTCCAGTGGCAGTAGATGGGATGTGCATTAGCTGCTATTGCTGTCAGGCCCATGAATGAGAGAAAACTGTCCTTGTGTACTGACATTACTCCTCGCTGGGGTAACAGCCAGAAGTAATGCGGTGCAGGAGGAGGGTGAGAACGCGCCATTGTGGTGTCACGTTTGCATGAGCTGAATATATATGACTGGATCAGCTTTGGCCAAACACCTCAATGTGCAGCTCGTCTTCTTCATTCATGCAGCTTTTCTAAAGCAAACACAATTCAGTTTGCATCTTGTTTTTTTTTTTTTTTAAGTTTCACTCATCATTCCTTTTTCTGCCAAAATATCATTTCTGAAGCAATATTTTGATGCATGAAAGTGTTTCCAATATTCTCATCACTGACCCCCCCATTAATTTGTTATAGTTTCATGTGTTCAAATGTTCAAACTGTTTTCAACTGAAATAGAAAGCACAGTGATAACCCTAGAATCATTTTGGGCCAGAACAGAGGAGTCATTCAATGCCAGGATATAGCAGTCACAGTTAACTGAGCAAACATTCACTGTGATGAACATGCAGTGCGTTGTTCACTAAGGTTATGTGAAATGTGATACCAACAATTGATCTTTGCATCTGATCTAACACTGCACTGCAAGAAACATTAGAGCCTCTCTGAGCAGTTTTACAGTAGTGACCAGTGTTTTTCTGTGTGGGTAGCATGGCTCATGCGCCCTGTGGTTATGGAATATTCTTTATCTCTGCCCTGAGCAAGCAGATGCAAACTGAACCGTGTGGAGTCAAACAGATTGATTGACCTCCTTTTGAGCATCCATGCATACAGTACCAACCCCCATGTGAACAGAGGTTTCACAGCTTATTGGTTGAACTCCCTCAATGCTGTTAACTAGATGTTGTTATAGATTGTTTATGAGATGAAGATGCATTCCTTATCGCCTTGTGCACTGTCGTATTTCATTACATTAGAAATCGTATCCCAATGCAAGCTTGCAAACCCAATGCGAGCGAAATATTTTCGATCATTGTTGTTTAGGTCATTGTGTCCGATCGTGATCATTACAGTGAAATAAATCAGGCAGAAATAACTTTAACTGCATGTTTTCACAATGTCGATCTAATAGTGTTTTGGATTTCCCAGTTCAGATTTGAATTATTTAGAGAAACAGTTTTGTTGTCCCAATTGAGAACTTTGTAGCTGAGTGTTATCATTACAGCACCTGCTTTTCTGCTGAATGTATTTTATAAATCTTATTTTTGCCATGGCTTTAGAGATACATTTCCCAGCAGGTCAAAGCATGCGAAACATACTGAAAATGCAGTCAGCTGCAGCATTATGCACAGAGGTGGATACATGTAGCCTAAACCATTGAGATAATAAGGAGGAGGAGACTAAAACCTAAACCTTAAGGTGTAGTGCTAAAATCAATATGTTTTTGTGCACATTTCACTCATTTTTTTTGTTTTTCTCTCTCTCCATCTGGTCGTCTTTATAGCGATCCATCCATTCATCTATCATTGTATCTGCCAAGCCTGAATAAGCACGAGAACACTCCATGGTGGAGTATTGGGAAGTGTATACTGTTTACCTTTGGGTCCTGAGAGCTGAATTCATTCCATTCTCCACCAACATCATAACAATAGATTAGATAGTTGACAAAGAGTAATTGCTTTCTGCGGTATGTGTGCAAGGGTGAGGTGGAAAACCAGTACAGAGGCATGACCTGATATGGGAATAGTATAAGATTTCATTTAAAGCCTCCAGTGTTTCAAGGCCGTGTATCCTCTGTAGGATGAATATGTGTGTGCAGTACAAAGGTACTGGTGAAAAGCCCCCTGTTGCTATGTAAGGTCATGCAAGCTCTGCCCTCCAGCCTCTTGTGTTGAATTTAAACAAAATGGAAAATAATGTTTGCATACGGAATAAATATTGACATTACTTTCATTTATTTATTTATTGGTCGAGAGAAAAGATGACAAGAGCATTGTGGTCAAATGTAAGTTGTGGCATTACTTTACTCTGACATTACATGGCTTGCCCATCCACATCCCTTAGTCTCTCAATCCATTTCCCTGTTTTTCCCTTATCCCTCAATCAAAAGTCTTTCTTTTTATGAGCTTCTTGTTTCTTGTGTAAAAAGATTTCTAAGGGTTAGTTTGGTACAGAGACATAACGTGGTGGAAATGTTAAGGAACTTCGTCATCGGAAAAGACAATGCTGGTTATGAACACATAATATATGAGTGGCATATGGGCAACAAATGATCTTTCTCTTTATTATAACAATGACTC